TTATAGAGCTGTGTTTTAAAAGGGATTTGATGCAGCTGGTAAATTTATTACTGTTTTGATACAAAAGATGTGTTGGGAAAGGAAAATTAAAAACAATTTGCCACCTTAGATGTTTCGTGGGAACCCCCTTATCGAAGTGAAATACTAGGTTTTGACCTACTACTGGCTTATGGCTTTTACCCAAAAGTTTTTTGTTGTTGCCCGAGCTTTCTGGGGTTTTTTCTTATACCTTCAATTTTTGAGCAAAAAAGGCTTTGCCTTTTTCTCCTTTTTTTTAAATCTTGTACTCTGTTCCTCACCCTTTGGGAAATTCTTTTTGCTGCCCAAAATCCTGTCTGTTTGCTTTAAATCTTTTTGGCAGGGTGGTCTCTGAATTTAATATTATCTTTAAAATTTTCAGTATTATCCACGGGTTCAGTTCTTCGTTTAACCTAACCTCTTTAAAAGGTTGCAATATTTTTCAAAAGGTTTGGTTTAAACTTTGTTTTTTAAATTTTCCCCGGCATCGTTTTTCGTTTCCCTTTCAACTTGTTTACTTTTGTCCCGTCAACAATTTTTTGTGCCAAATTTTCCAGTGTTTTTTGTTCTGGGTTTCTTGTTTACCTTTATTTTTATTGTCCTGTGTTTAAACCCCATCCTTAAACCCCCGTGATTTTTCCTTTGGGGGCAGTAAATGATGAAATGGTCACTAAGACCTGTGGTAACGACGCCTGACTGACTAATGTTCTCAGAGCGGTTACAAAGTATGTGGTTAATTAGGGTGGCTGAGAACTGTGTGATCCGGGTTGGTGTATTAATTGTGTGGGTGTAGCTATTTAATCCTAGAATTTGCTTATGCTTTTGCATAGCCCGTTATTTTGCTGCTGAAAACAGATATTGAAGTCGCCCAGTATTATTGTCTCGCAATTGTTTTCAACTCCGGACAAGACTCTGGAAAAGTCTTCTAAGAACTGGTCCTGGGTAGGAGGGCGGTAACTAGTTCCTACTAAGATGGGTTTGGTCTTGGGAAGCAGCACTTCAAACCATAGAATCTCCAGTTTATTGTTATTTAAATCAGGTCTTGGGTTGTAAGCTAAGTCATTTCTAATGTAGGCACATACTCCACCACCCTTTCTGTTCCTATCTAAGCGTTTTACATTGTAACCTTCTATTTTGACCTCGTCGTCAGTCACCGTATCATCCAACGAAGATTCAGAGATGGTTATAACTGCCGCCTTAATTTTGTTAGCTAGTAAGTAAGTTTATTCAGGTATACACAAATACAGTTACATAGAATTATCATACATAGCAACATATGTGTAGAGAACCTGGGATAACCCAAAAAAGTCAGACAGAGTGACTTATTTCCAGAGTTATTTTTTTAGGGTGATGCGTGAAGCTGAGTTTGAAATTAAATTAGTGTTTTGGGGGCATGTTTAGAGTTTAAACTATAAAAATAGGCATTTAAAGACATTTCTTTTAACAGCATCCAAAATTCGAGGTTTTTCCAAATTCTCGGGTGGTCTTGGAATATAACCCCCGTCGAATTTGAGGGGTCTACTGTATGTCGTGCCGAACAGGTAAAACTTGCGATTTTGGCTTAAACAGCAACGCATTTCTTGCCGAATATAGCAAGCGAAAATTTGTGTATGCAATAATTTCGCAAAATTCATTCTGAACCTAACGAAAAATATATATTTCAGTGTGTAGGTTTATTATCAAATTATTGTACACTTAAATAAAATATATTTAGTTGGATTCGGCTAATTTAAATTGCACTTGTTATAATAAGGTTAGGTAAGTTTTCTAAGGTTCTTTTGGTACAAAATTATTAATTTTTACATTAACATAAATGAAAAAATATATCTTTAAACGTAAGAGAGAAATTTTTAGAAAGGATTTAATTTACATGAGTTCTTGCTTATTGACCAATTTTACTATTCGGCACGACACACACACACACACACACACACACACACACACACACACCACACACACACACACATACACACACACACACACACACGACACACACACACACACACACACACACACACAACACACACACACACACACACTCCACACACACACACACACACACACACATATATATAATATATATATATATATATATATATATATATATATATATATATATATATATATATATATATATATATATATATATATATATATATATATATATACATAAATACGAGGACTTTCAAGTCTCCTATATGTATTATCTCTCTTTCCAATTTACTCTCATTTACGTATGAGTGTAAGTATATAGTCTACAGTTAACAGTGTTACTAATACTAATCAGTGGAGGCCAACACTACCGTTATCACCACAGTGTAAGTAAAATATCTTTCCCAGACCAGAGTGAGGGGGGGGGATTCTAACCAGTGGCTGGTAAGTCCTAAAAAAAAAAACCTCATTGTTAAGTAGCATATAACGACGTTCTGTGCAGCTTAACGAGGGGGGGGGGTATTACGTGGCAGTAAAGAGCTTGGCCCAATTAGCAAGACCAGCTCACACACACACATTAACACACACACACACACACACACACACCACACACACACACACACACACACACACAAAACAAATAGGTGAGTACACACACCATAGAGTCGGCAGAAAGTGGAATAGCCTAACAAGTGATGTAGTGAAGGCAGGAACCATATATACCTTTAAGACCAGGTATGACAAAGCTCTGGAAGCAGAGAGGGAGAGGACCTAGTAGCGATCAGTGAAGAGGCGGGGCCAGGAGCTGAGTCTCGACCCTTGCAACCACAATTAGGTGAGTACACACACACACACACTCAAAATGCGTTATCTTTTCATTCCATTACGCCCACATGAGATAAACGTATCGCTTTCCATCCCACCTTTCTCTCCCACATCCCTCTCTCCCCTCTCTTCCCCCTTTTCCTTCCCTCCTCCTCCCCTTCCCCCTCCACGCCTGCTCGCTGAGCTGACTGTGATGTAAGTGAAGGAGCGTCATGGTACTGATCTGAGAGAGGATTATCTGCATGGAATTTAGTGTAGACTCGGGGAATTGACGGTGCTTATCGTTTTACTCACTTTGTGCCCTGTTTCTCCCCCACCCTCTCTCTCTCTCTCTCTCTTTCTCTCTCTCTCTGTATATATGTCTACAGGATACGTGAGGTTTACTTAGCGTTTTCACCTCTCCTCGCCATGACAACAGAAGTTGCTCCACTGACTCAGGATGTGTTGGTTCACTGACGTCTGTTACCACTTCATTTGCTTATTGGAACCAACATGGTTCTCTTGCCTCAGCAGCTGACTGGCTACACTGTTTTAGTGCTCGTCCGTAGATATCACTTAGTTATTTTTTGACTCTTTGTAGAACCTGCCTAGCATGGGCCAGTAGACCCTCTGCACTGCTCCATCATTGGCTCGACTTGTCTTTATGTACCTTTCTATTGATAGTTAATGTTTTCTAGACTTTCGAATCGTAAAATTGTCTTGTGCCAGGAACTGTCTTGTGGTAGATAGCGATGCCGTGTTAGTGTGCTCATTTGTGCCTGCATTTAACTAGTTGGGAGATGAATGCTAGCTCCTGGGACCAGTACCTAGCTTTGGATCAAGTTGTTTCTCCTTCGACAGAGTTACATCATTTGTTCACAGCTGAAAAAAGTGTTGTTTGTGGGTTATCAATGCTTAATGTGTGTGTGTTGTGTGTGTGTGTATGTGTGTGTGTGTGTGTGTGTGTGTGTGTGTTGTGTGTGTGTGTGTGTGTGGTGTGTGTGTGTGTGTGTGGTGTGTGTGCTTGTGCGTGTGCGTGTGTGTGTGTGTGTGTGTGTGTGTGTGTGTGTGTGTGTTTAGACAAAAACTCAATTGAAAATGTTAATGCGTATTAAGTGCCATTAGCAAACAGAAAGTCAAATATGTTTTCTCAAAAAACGAGAAATGTTTGTTCTTCATTTTTATTTGGGATGGACATTTCTTATATAATTTTAAAAACAAAAGTTAAAATAGAAAAAAAAAATCTAAGGTTTATTAGGCTAATATTAAGTAAATAAACCAAAATAATATCTTAATGCTAAAGTCTGCTAATATTATTACTGTTACTACTGTTACGTCTATCACCTATTGTTTTATTACTACTGCTACTACTTTTACTACTACCACCATTAATAATAATAATAATAATAATAATAATAATAATAATAATAATAATAATATAATAATTATTATATTATTATTATTATTATTATTATTATTATTATTATTATTATTATTATTACGACGAAAATATTTATGTTACATATTTTAATAGCATCATTAAGTCTGCAAGAATATACTACGAACAATTAATAGGCTGTACAGGTGGACTACCGGCGAATAAAAAAAAAAAAAAAAAAAAAAAAAAGGTGGACTGTATAAAAACATTAACATTTCTTGTTATTATAAGTCACGCTGAAAATAAACAAATAAATGCAATTAGTTACTGGCCTCTAACTTACCAGTATTAAAATAACTAACTTAACAACCATTCTATGTAAATAAATGGTTAAATTTTGTGGAGGAATGAATGGGTTTAGGTGACTGATTTTTTCTCAACATCTCGTTTTCGCTATTCAAAGTGATTTTTTTTTTTTGGAGTTTGAAGATGGTATTGATTTGCAGATCGAAATTCTTTTATGGAATCGTTTCGCCAGGAGTGACTTCTTCAGTTTCCGTAATAAATGTATTGGAGTTCCTGTGGTCTTGTTGGAGTTCCTGTGGTCTTGTTGGAGTTCCTGTGGTCTTGTTGGAGTTCCTGTGGTCTTGTTGGAGTTCCTGTGGTCTTGTTGGAGTTCCTGTGGTCTTGTTGGAGTTCCTGTGGTCTTGTTGGAGTTCCTGTGGTCTTGTTGGAGTTCCTGTGGTCTTGTTGGAGTTCCTGTGGTCTTGTTGGAGTTCCTGTGGTCTTGTTGGAGTTCCTGTGGTCTTGTTGGAGTTATATTGGTGAAGTATCACCGAATCAGGTATCACCATACTTCTTGATTCAGCTATGAGGTCGAGTCTCTGGTGACGAGGCCAGAGCCGATGAGGTCGAGTCTCTGGTGGAGAGGCCAGAGCCGATAAGGTCGAGTCTCTGGTGGCGAGGCCAGAGCCGATAAGGTCGAGTCTCTGGTGGCGAGGCCAGAGCCGATAAGGTCGAGTCTCTGGTGGCGAGGCCAGAGCCGATAAGGTCGAGTCTCTGGTGGCGAGGCCAGAGCCGTAGCGAAGTCACCGGTGAGTCTGTGGCTGGTTGTATTACTAAAGTAAGACATAGGTCTTACTTTACTGAAAGATAAACAATAGGTGAAGACTCACTTCTAAGTTCTGAGGTGCGGTGTTCGAACCTTCGTGAGGTGCTCCATACGTTTCGAGCATTACAGCTCCAGCAGGAGCTGCAATGCTCGAAACGAGCACTTAAAATAGCTTAAAGGGAAGCTTGATAACGATACACAGTAAAGATATGTAATAAAGGTACCTAACAAAGGTACCTAATAAAGATACCTAAGTGTTGTACATGTGTCATACTCATCAACCTAACCTAACCTCTTATACTGTATACAAATGAAATCCTCAGGTTCCTTTAACCTGTAGTCTACCAGAAATTTACCAGTTGTGTACCAGTACACGATTCCAGGGAGTCGTTGCCCCCTGTAAACCCGATCCAAGACTAGTTTCCACGAGAGAAGCATCGTTGTTAAGTCTTTCGTGTGCCTTTCCACCACTTCTGCTACTCACGAACGCCAGACACAGGACCACACGACACAGAAGCTACACTCACAGGATGTATACATCCAGAAGTGTATATCTCACAGGATATATACACCGAGAGGTGTATATATCCTGTGAGCTAACTTTAATCCCTGCTTCGGGTATTACGTATTCTTGCCTGGTGGTGAATAGGTGTTTATGCAGCCTTAATGACCCCTTTGAGTCAACGACAGGATTTATACCTAATTAACACTCATTAGGAAATACTCCAAAACTACGATTAATTAGAGAATTAGATGAAACAGATGGAATATTTATGTAGAAATAATACGTTCAATACACCCTTTTTTGTGCAGTAATTTGTACTGATTTTGCTTTAATGCGGGATTTTTATGAGTTATATTAATGGAGTGAATAAGTTAAATGTTTGGATATTGTTAAATTGGATTTGTGTATTGTAATTCAAGAGGAGTACTTTCTCTCTCTCTCTCTCTCTCTCTCTCTCTCTCTCTCTCTCTCTCTCTCTCTCTCTCTCTCTCTCTCTCTCTCTCTCTCTCTCTCTCTCTCTCTTATTTACACAATAGTTCTACAGAGTTAGGTTAAGAGTCCCTACCTATATTTACAAGCCAAGAGCTGTTACCTACCTCAGCTCTCTCTCTCTCTCTCTGTCTCTCTCTCTCTCTCTCTGTCTGTCTGTCTCTCTCTCTCTCTCTCTCTCTCTCTCTCTCCTGCTGTTGGCACAAGCTAGCAGAAAGTCTTAATTAAACGACCAATTTTTTCAACCTTCTTTAAGTGAGGTTCTTGGTTTTGGAAAACCTAATTGAAGAACACAAAAGAAATCTCAGGATGGCGGAATATTCATTTTGTTTGGTGAAATGAGCGAAATGTGTTGAGTGTGCGAAATGTGCTGGGTGTGCAAAATGTGATGAGGGTGCGAAATGTGTTGAGGGTACGAAATGTATTGAGGGTGCGAAATGTGTTGAGAGTTCGAAATGTGTTGAGTTTAGAGGCTTCGATTCCCATTGGCAAGGGAAGCGCTAAATCCGTAGGGAATCATGCATCGCCTGGGAGATAGATGTCGGTTAGGTTTAATTCGAGGGGAAAGTAGAGCTGCAGTTCCCTGGATCAAGAGCCCTTTACAGGCATCAAGGGACATATCCTCAAAGTAACAAAGTATAACATACCTGTGCTTTTGTTAGTATGTGCGAGCAACAACAGCAGCAGCAATAACAACAATAACATCAACAACAGCAACAGCATTAAACAACATCAACTATAACAACAACTCGGCAACATCAACCATAAAGCCAACCACAACAACAACAACAACATCAGCAAACAATAACCAACAACAGCACACAACGACAAACACAACAAACAATAACAAAGACTTCAGTCGGTCAAGTCCCAGGGACGTCAAGTCACCTCCTGTCAAAACATGTCCGTCTCCGTCAGTAATTACATGTCGAGGAAAAAATCTTTTTGCAATCATCAATTGTGTTGACTTGCCTTTGGCTAGTCCCTAGTTGCTGGCTGGCTGACTGGCGGCGCTAGTTAAGCTTAAAACGTCTAGATTCCTATCAGTTTTCTAGCAGTGTGTAATGGTTGCGTGATTCTAGTATTGTGTAGCAGCTGCTGTCTGATTTTCACGGAGTTCTCTAGTATTGTGAGTTGGTTGTCTAGTTTACATTAAATTTCTAGGATAGGGAAGCAATTGTTTCGTTCCCATTGTGGTTCCTAGTATTGGGTAGCAGTTGACTAGTTTCCATTGTTTCCTAGTATTGGGTAGCAGTTGACTAGTTCTCATTGCTTCCTAGTATTGGGTAGCAGTTGACTAGTTCCCATTGCTTCCAGTATTGGTGCAAATTGACGTTTTTCATTGCTTCCTAGTATTGGGAGCAGGATTTTAAC